TCTACTGTCTTATACCAAAACAAAGAAAATAGTCACAACGCAGCTTCTCTACAATTTATTGCTCACATTGAACATGATCAACGAATTTGCGTAAGCTGCCGCCTTTTCTGGTTTAACTAACAATGAACCTCGGAAAAATGTAAGTTATAGTCCAGAAGTCAGCCAGAAAAACTTACTCAGCCCCTAAGATCACCGCGAATAGACACACCCTTAAAGTGATAAACAACTTTACATAATTTTAAAGCAAAGGCACAAATGACGCATTTTTAAAGGCATGTTGACAAGTGCCTGATCAGGGCCAGTAGTGCTTTTGAATGTCTTCAAGCGAGAATGTGGGGAAATAGATCATTTAGCCTGCCTACTAAAATTAGTTTGTACCAAGCAGAGGTTCTTTAAACCCTTCTATTAGAATCTGGGACACGGATACTTTAAAGAAAGCAAATATGACTTCTTGAATGTTTGCACACCATCATGGCAAATTGCACTACAAACAGCGATGTTCTTGCTAATGCCGGTATGAGCTTTTTAGAGTCCGACTATCACGTCTAGCAAGGCTCGTATCACATATGCGGGACGAAAATATGCCAAATGCAATCATTTTTTATTGAGCTGAAAGGTGGTCGGTGTAACAGATATGCCCCATAGAAACTCTTTTTAGAATACTAACGCAATGTTTTAAGCCTTTTAGAAAAATTGCATCATTTTTTTTTCTATAAAGTGCATGTTTTACCATAAAACGTTGAGATTTTGCATCACTTGATTTCTACTAAAGCCATATTGACTTTACTAATTGCAATATAAATTGTTGAAAGTAACTGTAGTAACCTAATAAAACACTACAGGAAGACATGTCTTGATTCTAGGCTTTATTGTACAAGAAAGAAAAAACAGTCAACGATAACATAGCACACAAGCTGACCTGGTGTCACGCTTCGCTGGAAAAGGCCTTCAATGTCATCGGCCTCTTTTTTAATTAAAAACAATTAATTATTGAAATAATTTAGTTTTTGGTGACGTCAGAACACACAGGTAGCATACACTTCATAAAAGAATCCATATAATTAACAAGATAAAATTTTAATGTAATTAAATGAAAGAGGGAGGGATTACAAAATGTGATGATTATAATCATACATCCTAAGGTAACATAGAAAGGAATTAAAGATAAATGAGAGGATTCAATCATCATATGGACTGTTGATTGTACAAAGGCATAAATGCCCTATTGACTTAGCTCTAAGGGTCCTTGGTTCTGTCTTGGACTCAAAAGCTTTTCCCTCTGCCTTGGTGCTGTAGACAGTTTTAGTCTGCTATCATGAGCATCATCTTCGGAGGTGCCAGCTCCATCTGGAATACTGCAGTTGGATTGAGAGTAGCCCGGCCGCTGTTAAGTGTCCTCGAAGTGGGAGTAACACGGCGGGGTGAGGCAAAATCAATGATGATCAGGCAGGCTGCTGGTTCTGAGAATTGACTTCAGATGTAGGACTTAGTAGTCAGTGTTCGCTGATACCTAGGTTCCTTTATCTGGCAACGGAGTTAAGGGTAGGTGTAACAGGAACAGGAGTTCTGGAAGATCAAGGAATCGGAACAAGAAGCAAGGTGTAATTTCACGAAGCAGGAAGTACGGGGATTCATCAATAGGCATGAATTTTGCATAAAACAGGAAGTGTGGAGATTCTGCGACAGACAGTGTACGTTACAGCAACCAGTCGGTGTCTCCAGTTGCAATCAGGCTGGAAAAAACACCGAGCTTAATATATTCAATCTATTAAAAGACGTCGTGTTGGGCATAAGCTGTCAATCAGAGAATCACTAATTCACTTATCACTTACAAACAATGAAGGTCAATGATATCAGATCAATACATGGGGAATGATCATAATACAAATGGAGGGGGGGGACATAAACAAGAAAAATGGATACTGGTCAGCGACCATGACGCCATTGTTTACATACGGCCGTCGGCATCGAACAAAGGAGTAAAACTTAAATGTAGAGAGGAGCCGTAAAATGGGCGCAACTCTTATCTAAGTAAAATGGACAAGAGGAGGTAACGTACTAACATCTCCTAAGCGCTGACTCAATGCGTTAGAAAGATCATCAAGGCAAGCAGCCGAGATAAAAGAAATAAAATAATAAATACAAATATATACAAGGTTGCGACAGTGATCAATTGACGCAACATAGAGATAATAATATTAACACGTGATAGACATAAGTTAATGCAATTAAATATCTACACATGAAATGGTTATGTTTCTTATTTACGACAATGAGAAATACACAAAATGCACGATTCAACACAAATGAAATAAGTTAAATCCTCATAATAGTGTACACTGTTCTTATTCAGGCGGGTGAGAGGGAGTTCTTGTTCACTTTTGCTGACCTAGAGTTCCAAGAGCGAAGGCTCAACTCTACCTGACAGTTTTAAGAATGAAAAGAAGAGCCTTATATGCCGCTTGGCAGAAAATAGAAATTGGCAAAGACAGCATGTGATAAATCTCGTGATGTCAAGATAGATAGCGTGACATCTGGTCAACATTAGCTCTTCCCATTCATTTGCCAATAAGAACACCTGGCTAGATGTCAAGCGTAACATGCGCTCAGGATCTAGACAAAGGAAAAAGGACAGTCTGGCTGCCTCGCAAGATGAAAGGAGCTCAGATCGTCTCGCGCTAGTGATAAAGTCAACAAGTTTGACAGACTTGACACTAGAATAGAATAGTGAAGGCTTGCCCAGATGGGCAAACTAGTGAGTAGCAAATGTAGTTTGACATTCGTATTATAGAAGGGGAGATAAGCAAAGGAAACATGACAACGTGGTTGCCAATGTGGTAGAGTAAAGAGAAAAATGTTGGGTTTGGGAATATACTTGGACTTAGGAAGGGAAAATAATAAGGATGAAATAAATAATGATAATTAATGCTGTAATACAATTGAATCTGTCATCAAGCTTTTGGGCTGTGACACCTTGACACCAAGACATTTTTACGCATAAGAACAGATCAGTTTACAATACACAACAAGAAACATAGTTGCACAACATTCACCTCCCGTTTAGTTTCTTTTCGCTCTACTTCTGAGATTGTACGAGTGCTGGACAGGCGTATTTCTGGCAATTGTTTTTTTTTTCGATTTTCAATGTTTTTTTCATCTACTCTTAAAGCAGATGTTCCCTTATATACATAGAATCTACTGAGTTTTGGCGAGACACCAGGCGAAGTCTCAGTATTACCAGGGCCTTCTTTTAAATGAAAATAGTCTTTCGTGAGGCTTCATGTTAGTAGCAGTGCAAGTAGATATCTAATTGAATGGAGAGCGTCGTTTAGGGCTTACTTACATTGTATATTATGTAGCCTGACTTGACGACAAGAAAAATCGACTTTCCGAGAGTCGAGTTCAGTTTTTCTACTTGCCCGTTGCCTTTTGCATTATGTGCGGTGGTTCTGCTTGTTATTATATGCCTTTATTTCTGAGAAAACATTATAGCTCTTAAGAAATGAAGGCTGATCCCCAGTTTGAATGCAAATACAAGGGTGTCCCAAAAATGCAGAGTTGGTTATTGAAGCATCTAATTACTGTCAGAGCATGCATATGCAAACAGAAAATTTGAGTACTCATCATTAATTGTCAATAAATATTTTTTTAGTGGTAAAAGTGAGTAGTCTCTTAAAGTCGACACTAAGTCTCTCGAATGGTGATGTAGCTTTTACAAAGATGCCGGCAGATGGTTGATAAAAAGAGGTTTAATCTACGCACAGATGAGACAATTGTTTGTTAAAGTTCTTATTTCTTTAACTGCATACGAGAATATTTTTTTTTTGCCTAAACGAAATGGAGTATTCGCACTATGCCTGGGTAGCAAAGAAAGTTGTGAAATTCTTTCAAAGACGTAGGGGTGGTTGTACTTGCACAGAATTTACGAGAATGAAGAGCATTGGCGGCCATGTTGTCAGCCCCTGGTCGGTAACACACATCGAAACTGTACGTTGATGTTACAGCTCTCCACCTCTGAATTTTGTCGTTTTTAATCGTCCCGTAATGACAAGGGTTAAGCATAAAGAATACGGACCTTTGATACGTAGGGAGTTTATAATGCAACCATAATAGAAAATGTCTTCATTCTTTATTGACTCAACGATAGCCATTGCTTCTTTTTTACAGAGGATCGACGTCTCTCGCTAGTGTTCTGGAGAAGAAAGCAACAGGTCTTTTGTTCTGGAATACGGTAGCAGATATAGCGATATCCGATGCATCTGTTTCAACTTCTAGAGGCGTTTTGTGGTCTATGTTAGTGACGAAGGAAAGCGCTCGCAAGGTGGTCAAAGAAAGCGCTTCAGGGATACCCACTAAGCTTCTCTGAAGGCGTTCAGCATAGACCCAGGCACCTGGGAGACAGAGGCACATCACATCATGGCGTCGCGCTGTAAAAACTGGCGCACAGGTTGCTAAAGAAAAAAGAACAACGCTGGCAGAAGAAAAAGGCAATAAAAGAAAAGCAAGACAAACGACACTAGCTCCAGCTGGAATAACCTGCCAAGAGTGCGGCAGAACATTCCGGGCTCACATAGGTCTCACCAGCCACATGAGGAGGCATAAACCCCAGTTCAAAGCTCTCAGCCTCCTGGATGACAAAGTGGTCATCAAAGAACCACGATGGACGAACTATATATATATATAGTGACATCCGCCATTTTTAGTTCTTCTTTTAACGCTTGAAATTTATCTTGGAGTGTGAAAGTTCTGTTGTGTATTTAAGGATGGATCTTATCTCAGAAATGCCCTATCCACTTGACATAGCCGGGGAATAGACCTACAGTTTGTCTTTATGCGTTAAGATTCTTAGGTGGTGGAAAGAGAAACAAGGGTAGTTGTCACAGCCTGGTTTTTGTTGTAGGCGTGATGACGCGAATGTCGAGTGTTGTAGATACCTCTTCTGGTACTACTATAATGTTCTTCTTAACTAAATAAATTCTTACACGAACTAGATTTGCAGGTGCGTGAGAACACTAATATACTAAACTCTCCAACGACAACATTTAGAATTATTAATAAACACGCTGGTAGCAGACATGGATTTTATTCACATAATAAGAATGAAATAGTTCACAAAAGATATTGGCAACTTCAGCCATTACAACATATACATCCCGTTTCTCAATTAATCCAACGAAAAATGTTCTGAGTACACAATCATAATTACTTCAATACTTAGGCATTAAAAACGAGGAAATCGTAACGCTCCTCTCTCTACAAGAGTCCAAGATCAACTGAGGTGTTCACCTCGTGGTCAGTTACTTGACCAAACAAAATCTAGTGCTAACTGCACGGAATAATTAAGAGACTACTAGTCAACAAATATTACAAGTGTTCTAAAACTGATATATGACAGTAGTATTCTGTCCGGGTCTGGCTTCATGTCATTTTGAAAGACTGCACACCCTAGTAATATTAATCTTGAAGAAGCGTATGCACACTTTTTCTCATTAAAAGTCAGTCCATATTTTTTATAGCCCCAAGAAATTTAAGCAGTTTTTTATCATGCTCTTCTCTGTCTTTACCACAAATAGTGATTTTGTTAATAGAACCATATGTACCTTCTTGATTTGTTTATCTATGATCTTGACGATTGTCCGTAAACACAGGCTACCCCGTTAGTTACTCCAAAGTGTATCCTACAGAATTGGTATAATTTTCCTTAATTTTCAAAGGCAGTATAAAGGCGATCAGTCTTTCTTAGAAAGATCTGATGGTATGCGTTGCGAAGATCAAGTGTGCTAAATATTTCGTAGAAAGTTTTGATTTACATACCTTTTTGTAGTGTCCCTTTTTACCTCAAATTAGAACTATGCCCACATACGTCTTCCAAATGGACGGGAAGAAATTGTCTCACTAAACCATTAGGCTTTAAGAAATGACTCATCTTCTTGCACAGCTAGTTTTATTGCAAAGATTTAGCTTGTGTGAAGCCAGTGCTTCCAGATTCTTTGAGCGTTCGAATCATTAAGACCCACCACTAATCGTTCAGGTTTTAGAAAACGATCCATAATTGAAGCTTGAAGCACAATTAATCCACAAGATTCTTGTTAAATAAATTGTAGTAACCTAATAAAATACTAAAGTGAGACATGCCTTGATTCTAGGCTTTATTGTACAAGAATGACAAAACAGTTCAAGATAACACAGTACACACACCTGGATACCAAAACATTTTGACACACAAGAACATTAGTTCACTACACACATCAAGAAGCATAATTACACAACAATAACCACTTGAGAAGTTTAACCGCACTGACTTTCTTCCTTGCCGATACTAGGATAGTAGTTCTACGCAATAAAGGCAATTTAAAACTTCAGTCAGTCAGTGGTATTGTACATATATATATAATATATTATCTTTGTTTTGCTTATATTGCTACGTAAATTTAATATAGAATACCTCAGGATCTAGATATAGACTAGATCTTAAGAGTTCTGCGTGTAAGGATGGTACCAAAAAAATAATATACTTTTATACAATACCCGCAGGCCTATTTGATAGAGTCGTTCGATCTAGAAGCTGACGGTGTTTGGTAAATCATGAATTTGATGCCCGATTTAAGCTAGATTTGTTAAATTATTTTTCTTTAAATATTATATATTATTCTAAGTTGATAAGTGGAGGTATTGTCTTTTTACAAAATGTATTTTAAAATATTTTGTTGTTCTTTTGAAAGGAAGAAAATGAAACATTCGACTTATCTGAGCCTATTGTCGTTTCTATGTGTCTTTTTAAATGGCGGTAAGTAAAAAAAAAATCTATCTATCTATCTATCTATCCATCTATCTACCTACTTACCTACCTACCTACCTACCTACCTATCTATCTATTTATCTATCTATCTATTTTTTTAGTATGAATCTATCATTTTGTATATTTCTCACTCTTTCTCTCTCTCTAAATCTCTCACTTCCTCTATTTCGGATTAATGTATATATTACAAACATATTAACAAACATAAATGTTTTTTTTTTTATTTTAGCAGCTAGTGGACAAGAAAAAAAAACGTTTAACTATTATCTATATTTGTTTTAAACATTTCTTGTACATTTTATAAATATATTTGACTTAGTGATACTGACAATAGCATGAGAGCTTTGTTAGCATATTGTAACATTGCCTCTCTTACATTTATGTAATTGTTTTAGAATTGGTGTATTTTTATAAAAAAAATCCACTTGCATAATTAATTTGTCTAAATTAAAGGTTTCCTTTTAGAAATTCAAGATTAACCGTTGCACCTAAACTTTTCAAGCTGCATTTAATGGTGAAATAATATTTTTCATATCTTTTCTAGTTTTTGAGTTCTGAGTGTGACAGACGTACACACGGACAGACGGACATTTTGCACAAACCTAATAGCGGTTTTTTCCCTTACGGGGGCCGCTAGAAAAAAGTATTCTTTTATTGGCTGAACCAAATGTTAAATAGCATTTTAGTTTCATGTTTTATTTTGATCACATTTTTTCCTTTTGCATTTCTTGTGAATTAGAAAGTCTCAGTACAACACGTCACTCTCTACGAGCTCTGGCTAGTTTTGTTTTATTGACTTACCTGCTCTTTACTGTTCTCTCGACTAAATCTAGTATAATGCCTCAACAGGTTACTTTTATTCTTCCTCTGCGTATTGTGCACTGGGGTTCCAGTCAAAGGCCTGTCTAGCTCTGTTGTTGGTATCTTTTCTAATAGTGTGGCCAATCCTTTTCTACTTTCTCTCTAAGATCTGATCCTCTATATTTCTCTGTCCAACCATTTTCCACAGTTTGGTGTTTTCTTTTTTGTGGTATCTGTGTATTTTTCCCAGGCATCTGATGATAAATGTCTGAATTTTTTCTTTGTTATTGCTTCAGTTGTTCTCCATGTTTCAGAACCATACAGCACTATTGCCTTGACATTAGACTTAAGGATTCTTATTTTAGTCTTGTTAGAGAAGTCGAGGTTTTAGTTGTGTAAATGTTTCACGTGCTAGATTCATACAATGTTTACTGTCTTCATCTGTTTCACTTAATACGCTGACTACACTACCAAGGTATATAAAATTATCTACTTAGTCTGTGGTCTAAGAAACCAGCTCTATATCTCCATTTTGTTAATTGTTTACTTGAAATATTTTTTGTGTGGTTTATTTTAAGAACTTCTCTTTTTCCTATTTCACTTAAAGTGGTGACATTTTCTTGCATACATATATATAGTGGATATACAGTGCTTTTTTGTACAAAAAATAGGTTTTTTACTCCATGATGAATTGCCTATTTACTACTAGTAAATTAATAATAAACGTTAAAATACAAAAAAAAATTAAAAAAAAAATTACTCCACATAAAAAAAGTGTCGGTACCTAGTAACGGTACGCGACTTAGTAACGGTGCGTACCGTCACGAAAAGCACTGTTTAAATCATACAGAATGCCTTATGGAATTCGATCTTCTAGCATTATATAAACGTGGCCAAGCCAGCCTGCTCTTTGTAGCACTTCCTCATTAGTTATTTTATATTGCCACCTTATTTTAAAGATCCGCTTTTGACATCGGAGGTGGAAGATAAATACATATATATATATATATATATATATATATATATATATATAAAAATATATATATATATATATATAAATATATATATATATATATATATATATATATATATATATATATATATATATATATATATATATATACAAGTGCTTTAAAGTTGTAAAGCTTACCAAATCTTATCCAAGTGCAGACTGCGACACAGATCAATACTTGGTATATTGCAAGATCAATCTCCTTTTTTTAAAATTCACCACACCAAGTAGATTGAAAGAACTCAATGTGATGTAAGCAAGATTCGCCAATCTGATCTCCAGATACAGTTTGTGCAATCATTTGAACACGAGTACAAAACTGCTTCTAAAAATAAAATTTAGCAACAGAAAAATGGGAAGACCTCAAGTGCACCACACAAAAGACTTCCCTGGACATCTTTGGAAGAAAAATTTAAAAAAGGGAATGATTGGTTCAACTCATTTTTAAGCTATACTAGCATCTGTCATCGGTGCAAAAAAGATGCACTCGCTCTATACAAAACGAAACCTATCCAGTGCAGCCTATCAAATGTGAAAGAAGCTAGAGCAACTGTGCAGACGAGAGCAAGGATCTGTGCCAATTAATACTGGTTAGAGCTCAGTGAGAATATTCAGCTCGCAGTCCAGGAAGACAAAATAGGAGGGATGTATGAAGGAATTAAAAAATTTTCGGACCCTCCAAAAAAAAAATCAACAACTCTTAAATCAACAGCTGGGAAATTTATCAAAGAGAAATTCACAGAGGGGTTGAACAATACTACAACTCTACGCCACAAGAAGCTCAGTCACAGCATCAGCTAAAAATCAATTACCCACAATTAATGAGCTAAACAAATTACCCACCCTAAGAAAGCTCAACAAAGCCATAGACAACATGACTGCGGGCAAGGCCCTGGATGCAATGTTGTCTCCACTTAACTTCTAAAACAGTGCAAAACTACACTAAACTACTCTGTAAATGTTGTTAAAAAGGTGTGTCTATAAGACCTACGGGATACTAAGATCAATACTCTGTACAGAAACAAAGGTGACAGAAGCGACTGCAACAATTACAGGGAAATTTTGCTTCTAAATATTGTATGTCTTTGCTCAAGTGATACTTCCTATGCTAAAAAACTCGCTGATCAGGTCTACTCAAAATAAAACTACGCTTTTTCTCAGGGAGATCCACAATCAACGATTTTCTCCATCCTGTGTCAACTTCAGGAAAAGTGCACAGAACAATGGATGCCTTTGTACATTGCATTCATTGACGTGACTAAGGCATTCAGTCTAGTCAGCAGAGATGGCCTCTTTAAAAAAATACAACTCGAGCTGTTAAATGTAATTGTCTCCTTTCACCAAAATATGATGGTTACTGTGTAATTCAACGCGCCTGCTTTAAGAGTTTTAGTATAAACAGCTAAGTTAAACAATAATGTATCCAACCCTCTTCTAAATACTTTTTTTCTGCTAATCCACCACGCGTTAGACAAATCCACCGAAGCTATTTATCTCCATTGCAGATTTGAAGTCAAACTTCAAATTTTTTTAGACTGATGGTCAAAACTAAAATTAGTACCACCATTGTAAGATATATGCTATTCGCAGAAGATGCAGTAGTAATTGCACGCTCACAAGAAGAGCTTCAGTCATTAAAGCCCCGC